TCCTCTCTCTTCCCCTTTCTGCTCTTATCAGCACTCTTATCCTCGGGTCTTTTTCCTGCTTCACCCCTCAAATCAAGCCAAGCCAGGCCAAATCAGTCATGATGGATACTTTCTAATGCTGTCATGTCTTACAACACACACACACACACAGGCTTCTTCCTATTTCCCTACATTCCTTGAAGTGAAGTAAAGCCTATTGTGTAATCGCAACAACTGCGATTACAGCTCCATGATTCATCTTTGTGGATTACAAGTTGTGCATTCCAAACGCAACGTCTTGCCTTCCTTTAATGCCCTGGCACCAATAATCATCTCAGACGTTTTCCGTTTTCCATCCATCAGGATTATTCCCAACACCTGCTGAGGGCACCAGCCAAAACAGAAAGTCATTAACTGTTTTCTCACTCTGTTTGGATGAAGAGGATGATCTGTCTCTAAACCAAGACTGGAGCACTGTGTCAGAACCCATGACATGTTTGTTAATTACATGAATTACGGTTTATATGATGTTTCTGTTTATGAGAGTTTTTGGGGAATCAAATTTAGCTTTTAAGTAAGAAAAGGTCATTGGTATTCGTACACAACCAGTTTTATGAACTCAATTTCTGTATTGTTTTGCATTGGTATTTTTTTCTTGTATATTATTTTAAATTTTTTCTCTATGGTTTTTCTTGAGCTACTGCAAATCTTTACAGTTTTTTCTTCAACAAGGTCAGAAAGAATCACTCTCCTGTGAAAACTACATGACTCCAAAATTTGTGTATGAGTGTGTAAGACAGTCAAATGTGTTTAAAAAAGAAAATTTTGAGATACAGGTTGTTGTTTTTTGTCTGTTTGTTTATTTGTTTTTTGGACAGCAGTACTTTTAGCATCTTTGCACCTTTACTGATAACATTTTGATAAATTAATAATGATTTTTATCATTGAATTATGTAAAATACATACATCTTGTCCCAGCCACCACTCCCTACATTCACACATACACACCTAATGACATACATGTCATGATACAAACATTTGAACACACAACATCACACCTCATGGCAGCTCAGGATGCCTTGTGCTTTTGCCAAACCATCGTTTCATGACGAGATCTGTGTGCCAAACTCCCAGACTATGACTCAACCTTCTCAGTGTCATACCACAACAAGCACTCTGACACTTGACTTCCCATCAGCCCACAGGCCACAAGACTAACATAGTCACTATATTTTGTCAAAATAAGTGTCACAATCTCCTCAGGGAGACAAAGATGTCCAGTTTAATCTGAATTCATGTCTCATGTTTACTGTACACAGCTCACTTCTTCAGATAGTTATATATACAAAAATAAAAAGTTGCAATGGGTAAGATGACTCTTGAATGTCAGCATGATTATTGCTGCCAGATGTGCCAGTTCCTGCATCTGACAGCATAATCACTTTCTGTCCATCTGTTCTTATGTAACATCTTATGAGTTTTTTTACTTTGTAAAAAATATAAATGTAAGAAATTCAAAAAAAGCCTATATGTGTCAACTATTGGATGAATGGCTGTGGTGGAAAAGTTTCACCAACAGGCATGACAAAGTAATCGGCTCATGTATTTCTATTGCCAACATATCAAACCTTTTAGTCCCAAAGTGTGGATGTTTTCATCTTTTTTCATTGCTGTTTTTCCTTTTCAGCTTCTTGTTTTGTGGTAGTTTGCAGCAGTTTTGGAATGGTTTAATTAATATTAGTCAATGTAAAAGAGTACATGATGTTTTTGTAGGACCTTTTGCTCCCTCTTCCTGTTTTACTTCAGTTGTTTAATCTTTTGCCATACTGCTGCCACATACTGGATATTAAAAAAGAAGCAGCCATGAATTTTTATGATTTCCTAGAGCTGCAAAACACTAGCTGACGCACAATTCTTTTCCAGGTTTTCAAAAATTCAATTAAACTTTGTACAAGAATCCAGTGGAACCTTGAGAGAGATATTTTTTGTGAAAAAATAGCATCTAGATTTTACCAAGATTGTTGCAATAAACAAAGAAACATTTAATCAACTGCCCCACATGAGTAAAAATACATTGTTGGTGAAAGGGAGGAGAATGGCAGAGAACAAATCAAGCATAGCAATACAGTTTTGTTAAGCACCTTGAAGCAGACTGGTTACAGCAGCAAGAAGACCAAGTATCTTTGACCCCTGTCAGCATACAACAACATGAGCAAATAATAAAGTGAGCAAATAATGGCAAAACTGAAGTGAAGTGTTGAAATGTCCTGCTGAAGCTGCAGAGTGGGTTGCAGCAGAAGAGTGAAGTCATTCTGGGCACATTCCCAGATGTGTACGTGTGCAACAGTGAGACAAATTGTAGTTAAAAAGCCTGTGTGCATATGAAACTACAATAAAAAACATATATATGCTGTACATTACAAGCACATTCAAGTGCAAACGCTAATGAGCGTTCCAGTAAAAAGAAAAAAAAAGGAGGCCATCAGTTTGCTTCACACTAAAAATAACTGCGACTGAACAAATAGGTTCAGGTTGTTGTGAGGAGACACAGAGCAACAGTTGTGTTTGTGTATTTAGGTCAGCCAGACTGGGCTGCATCTCAGACATCGAGAAATAAAAGACTTCGACCCTTGAATTCAATCAAAGCATTTCTTTCGTCAGGACGCAGCTGGATGAACAGAGCCATCAGTGTATCTGTGTTAGTTGTGGAGGAGGTATTCAGATCCTTACTTAAGTAAAAGTACTAATAACACACTTTGTTGTAGTTGGTTGAGGTGGAACTATGTTGTATGCGACTGCAACTAATGATTATTTCAATTATGGATTCATCTGTTGATTATTTTATCCACTAATTGATTGATTGTTTGGTTGGAAAAAAAATCCGAAAATAGTGAGTGAGTGAATAGTGCAGACCTCAAAACTATTGCCAAGAAATCAACTATTAAAATAATGATTTTATGTAAAACAGGTAATCAGTCTTCATATGTTTTATATGCAAAAATCTTTTACGCTGGTGCCGTAACGTTGACCCCATGCCCGTTCCCTTGGACTGTATAAGTAATGTTTGTCATTTAAGACGAATCCATTATGTTGAGACACAGGGTGAGTAAATTTGAATAATCTTCATTGTCAGGTTCGAGGCCCATCCGGTATTTATCCATGACATCTTTTACTGCTCTCAGGCCCATCTCTGTGGTAATGTTAGTATATAGGCTTTCCTATATCAACAGTGAAAGAGGATGGGCCTGGAGAGGGAATGTCCAGAGAGTGATTTTTTCCAAGATAAGTCATTATGTGTCCTTTAATAGCTTGGGGTGGCCTGTGGAGGAGGGTCCCAGATGCGAAATCAATGAATTTGGAGATGTTATATGTGGCAGCTATTACAATCCGAGACTTATGGGCCTACCTGGTGGGTCCCTATGAGCAGATAATTAATTGCAACAAGACTTGGAAATTTTTGACAGAAATAAACATTTACTCATACACTCAGTATCAACATTTCTTATTGTGACTTATTGGGTGTTTGGTTTGTCCGTTTCTGGGCTACTGTAAGAATGTAGCCTCCTCTGCGGAGTGGCAGGGACATTGACTTTGGCTGGATGACTGTCCGGCACCACGAGCGGTGGTGTGCCACATTAACCGCGCCATTAAATCGCACATGCTCCCTCTACAATGAAAAGGTTGACTTTAACCATTATAGCTCGCGTAGTTCAGTCTGCACAGGACAGGAGTGCATACGCCTTACCCCCAAATTCACAGAGCAATGGGCCGGTGATATGCGTTCCAAGCTCTGTCCACAAAGCTAGGCTCTGAGCTAGCTAGGCAGTTTGGGAGTCTATGATTAAACAGTTCACAGTTACACTCTCTCAACCCAACTTTTCCTGGATGTCATAGTTAAGAAGAAGAAGAAGAAGAAGTATACTTTTATTGATCCCCCTACCGGGGAAATAGTTTTTTTTTCACTCTGTTTTTCTTACACACACAACACACAGGCTAAATGCACACTTCACACACGTGGACATGCAAAAGGGGAGGGATTCGATGAGTGGATGGGGGCTGCCGTGTGACAGCGCCTCATGAAGCAGGGTTTTGGGGGGTTGGTTGCCTGCTCAAGGGCACCTCAGCAGTGCACAGGAGGTGAAAAACTGGCAGCTCTACAGCTACAGTCCACACTTAAT